CCCCCCCCCCCGCAAGAAATCACAAGCTCACAAGCAATCACTCTCCATTTTCCCCAAACGCCTCAGCCCTAGGAAAGTACTCCTTAACTTTCTGTTTCTGTAGATAATGGAATCATTTCATAGCTGGTCATTTGTGACTGGCTACCTTCCCTTGCGTAATGTTGTCAACATTCATGCATGCTGTAGCATGTGTTCTTTATATGGCTGAATAATATTCCACTGTCTGCATATACAGTGGATATTTATCTATCCATTTATCAATTGCTGAAAATTTGGGTTTCCACCTTTTAGGTTTTGTGAATAGGCTGCTATCAATATGCATTTACACGTTTGTGCAGGGGCGAGTGTTTTATTTTTCGTATGTCTCTACCGAGGAGTGAAATTCTTGTGACCATGTGATCATCTTCTTTTAATTGAAAGAACAATTTTCTTCTTTTCCCCCATCAATCCTCAAAAATGATGCCTTCTATATGCAGAAACTCTTGAGTTACAAAGTGTAGACACAGGAAGATTTGGAGCAGAGATAAGACATTAGTGAGATCTTCTTCGTAGAATGGATCGACATTAAGTTTTAAGCCCATGTTCTCTCATCATTGAGTATCTACTATATTACAGAAATGGTACTTGGCATCATTGGTGGTAGGAGGGACTACAAGGTCATAGCCATAAAGAAGAAACAGATGGGTCTTTTGCTTATAGGAAGTTCTTATTTACTTAGGGAGGAAAATCATGGTAATAAAAAGTAAACTAAAATACTTGGAAGGTAGGGGGAAGATCTGTGAGTACCCAGAAGGAAAAGCTCTTCTCTCTGGCAAGAAAAGAAAACTCCTTCTTGGCAGAGGTGCTGGCCTAAAAGTAGATCTTACAGGGTGGATGGATGAAGTTAACATCTCCTGAAGTACAAAGTGGGGAGTGGAAAATGCCTTCTAGGCCCTGAGGATACTATGTATTTAAAGGCCCATATAAGTAAAGGCTTAAGAACCTTCCAGAGATGGAATAGTTTCTTAACATCTTGCCATCTTGAAAGTATCTTCATTCTACTTTCACATTTAATTAATAGTTTGGCTGGGTATAAAAGAGTGAAAACCGTTTTGCTTCAGATTTGCAAAGGTATTACTTTGTGGTCTTCTAACAGCCAGCCCTGCCATTATGATTGCCAATGGCACTCAGTCTTTAAGTGTGACTTTTCTTTTCTTTAATTTTCTGTAATATTTTGAGAACTGTTCTTCCTTTGAAATTTCCACATGGTACACCTTGGTGAGAATATTTTTCTTTATTACCTTTGGCTTCTCATATGTTCATTGCAAAGGGCCAATCACTATAGTTCTATAAATTGTCTTATTTTTTAAATGCAGTCTTTTTTTTTTTTTTTTTTTTTTTGGTAGAGACAGAGTCTCACTTTGTTACCCTCAGCACAGTGCTGTGGCATCACACAGCTCACAGCAACCTCCAGCTATTGGGCTCAGGCGATTCTCTTGCCTCAGCCTCCCAAGTAGCTGTGACTACAGGCACCTGCCACAATGCCTGGCTATTTTTTTGTTGCAGTTTGACCAGGGTTGGATTTGAACCCACCACCCTCAGTATATGGGGCTGACGCCATACTCACTGAGCCACAGGTGCTGCCTGGAAATTGTCTTATTTTTTTCTTCCGCAATATTTCCCCTGTATTTTTTGTGGCTCTCTAGTTAGACACTTACTTGATTAGCAAGCTCCTTTGTAATTGTTTTTCTTTGCTGTCTCTGACTTTTTCTTCTGCATTTTTCTCAACTCATAACCCATCTACTAACATTAGTTTTGTCAAAATTTAAAACTTTCAAGAACTTTCTTCTTTTCTCTTTTTATAGCTTCATTTTTTTTTTATTCCAGGGCTATAATATCTTATATCTCTTAAGGTAATAGTAATATTGTTTTCTGTGAGGTTTTTTTAATATGTGATTTTATTTTTATATACTGGAGACTTTTCATCTGTTTGAGTTTTGATCATCCATTCAAAGGGGAGCGTATTGCAGAGCTGATTAGAAGCACTGGGTGGGATGGCAAAGCTT